CTGGGCTGGGTCAGCTTGGAGAAGAGAAGGCTCCTGAAGGGGAGACCTGAGAGCAGCTCCAGTGCCTAAAGGGGCTGCAGGAAACCTGGAGAGGGGCTTTGGACAAGGGATGGAGGGACAGGCCAAGGGGAATGGCTTTAACCTGCCAGAGGGGAGACTGAGATGAGCTCTTAGGCAGAAGCTCTTCCCTGTGAGGGTGCTGAGGCGCTGGCACAGGGTGCCCAGAGAAGCTGTGGCTGCCCCATCCCTGGCACTGTTCAAGGCCAGGTTGGGCACAGGGGCTTGGAGCAAGCTGCTCTAGTGGAAAGGGTTTGGAACTGATGAGCTTTATGGTCCCTTCCAACCCAAACCACTGCATGAATCTGTGATATATGGTTTAAAAAAAGTCACTTTTTCTGCCACGTTTTACCATGCACTGGTCTCCAAAGCATCCCAGGGACACCTCCATTCACCCTTGGGTAGAAGACAAGGGATGCCACTGCTCTGGGTAGATGTGGGGTCCCTGTACTGCGGGAATTGCATTGGACAAGGTACTGCTGCCCTCCAGTGGGCTCAGGCTGGAAAGGATGTGGCAGTGGTACCCCACTCTGTACTGAGCACATGGGTGCTTCAGGGGGCCAAGGTGGGAGATGGGGCTGAGGATAACACCCTCCATGGGATGGAGTGAGCACTGGGAAGGGACCAAGCGGTCACAGCATCACTCCTCCTTCTGGTTACTGGACCAAACCTGCTCTGCCTCATTCTTCTGCGATGATCCCAGTGATGTGCTCCTGGCCCAGGCCTGTTTGAAAGCAGCACCTGCAGCTGCTGAAGGGCCTGATCCCACTAACATCCCACTCAGTAGCTGCTTCCCTACTGTTGTCCCCAGGGCCAGGCAGGAGCATTAATTCACAGCCAGTGACAGCTCCACAAGAGCCATTATGGGTTACGGGGCCAACGAGCCATGAAGCAAGAAGCAGGCACAAGGCCATCGTGACACTACCACAGGTACCTTCTCCTCCACTATTAAGGGAGATGTTGTGCACTTAATGGAGGGGAAAATCAAACCACCTTCCCACCACGCTGATGTATGGGCTGGGAGATTCCTAGCATTGAGTGTGAAGCTCTGAGAGGAGGAAAATTCAACCTCAAAGGCAGGAAACTCAGCTCAACCCTTGTGGATTTGCTGGGGTCTTCGTGATGGGGTTTTCAGGATGGTGGGAACCAATGTTCTCTGTGTCAAGGACCCTAGAAATCAACAAGGGATAAAAAAGACAACCCAAACCCCTCTTTGCATCTCCTGTCTGGTCATAGGATGCCCCTAAAAGCTTCTTTAACTGGTCATAGGATGCTCCTAAAAGCTGTTTTAATTGGTCCCAGACCAGGGGAAGCTCCAGTCAGATATAAGGAAAAAGCTCTTCATTGTAAGGATGCTGAGGCACTGGCACAGGCTGCCCAAAGAACTGGTAAATGCTCCATCCCTGCCAGTGTTCAGGGCCAGGCTTGATGGGACTTGGAGCAACCTGGCCTAGTAGAAGGTGTGCCTGCCCATGGCAGGGGGTTGGAACTGGATGATCTTAAGGTCTGTTCCAACCCAAACCATTCTATGATGCTATGCTCAGACTGAGGAGCATTACACATTGCCTCAGCTCCTGAGCCTACCTGGAGCTCCCCTCTGCATGGACAGAGGTTGGAGAAACCTCAAATTCATAGAATCATAGAATCATAGAATAGTTAGGGTTGGAAAGGACCTTAAGATCATCCAGTTCCAACCCCCCTGCCATAGGCAGGGACACCTCAGGCCAGACCACGGCACCCAAGGCTCTGTCCAGTCTGGCCTTGAACACTGCCAGGGATGGAGCATTCACAACTTCCCTGGGCAGCCCATTCCAGTGCTTCACTACCCTTACAGTAAAGTTCTTCCTTATATCCAATCTGAACTTCCCCTGTTTAAGTTTTAACCCATTACCCCTTGTCCTATCACTACAGCCCCCTGGTTAAATAAAGCTATTTCTGCAGTGGTTCTTGTTGACCCCCAGCACCAGGATCCTACAGGACCCTTTCACCTCCTGATCAAGATGGAAAAGAAGACAAAGCATGGAATGATCCAGCTCCATGCCCTCTCAGCATAGAGGGAGGGAGACACCAGGCTCTTGTTGATGGAACACAGATCTCATCTGAAATACGTCACCAGAGGAGGAGGTGATCCCGGCGCTGGAGTCACGGGTTTCCCACAGCCACTGAGCGTAGGTGGGAAAAGGATGTTCTGCAGCAGAACGACTCCCTGTGGGTGGCTTTGAGGTTGGAGCTGGGTACAGGAGGGCTGGTGGAAGGGAAAACACCTTCAGTTACAAGATGATGTGATAAAAGAGGCAGATAATGCTTTAACTCTGGTTTGGTAGACAGGAGAAAGAGGCTCCCACCACCCTTTTGTGTATTAACCCAATGTTGAAAGCACTCACCCTGGTTCAGTCCCATCTAAGGGGGGTTAAATGCACCTCTGTGCCTCCAAAGAGGAGTTACTCTGTCCTTTTATCTCCCATGGGGTGCATGCTCGCTGAGCCAAGGACTTGTGTGCTGCCAGGACCCATGGTACAGCCCCATGGGCTTGGTCATCCTCCCTGTATGGTGGAGAGTTGGGCTCCATTGAAACACTTGACTCCAAAGGGAAAAGGTGTGGGGGAGAGTCCCATGTCAAGGCATTGCTCTTTGTCAGCTACCCATGAGCTCCTCCAGCACCAGTGATGCCTTTGTTTCCATTGATGTCTTTGTTCCCATTGATGTGCTCTTCCAAAAACAAGAGGTTTGGAAACCCTTTTTGGCAACCCAAAACCAAAAGAAACCCCAAATCCCACCAAGTTTGCTTCACACAACCCTGCTGTGAGAAGCAAACATGACTTTCTTGAAGTTTCCTTCCTTTTATCCAGGAGAAAAGCCCCCAGTGGACCCAGCCTTCTCACCTTCCACATTACTTCCATGGAATAACTCACGGGACAAAGCCCCAGCTCCCATTTCACCATGCTGGAGATGAAGACAATGTCTCACCAAGGGTTAATCTGGGTGTTTAGGACTTTGGTTTGCTTTGGGTCAGGCTGTATGAGATCCAAATGATCTCATCAAACCTCAACAGCTTCAGATTTAAGTGATCCAAATGAAAATGGGTGAAAAAATGACCCATTTGGAAACCCAACCTTGATCCCCACCTGCGCAGTAATTCACAACAGAGATGCACACTACAAAGTGTTTTGGAATCAGTGCTTTTTAATCCATAAAAGGTGAGAGTCCATGTACAAAATCAACCAAAACAAAACCACTGGTGTTAGGGAAATCATCCAACTCACACAACACGCAACCCCTCCGCTGATGCCAATGGAGGAGTTGGGTGATGCGGGTGGAAACGCGACGTGCAGGCTTCTAAATAAATACATCCCCAGCTCCAAGATGTCCCTGTTGGCAACACATTTAGAATCAGGGGGAAGATGCTGCTGGGATGCTTTAGCAGGAAGGTGGCCTTTCCTGTGAACCCACCGCCTTCCTTGGCACTCAAGCAGCTGGGAAGATGACGCAGGAAATCTGCCTGCACCAGATGGTGGCAGCCGGATCTCTAATCCGGTTTGATGATGTCTCAGTCTATAGAGAGGCTTCTTGGTTGTTAATACAGAGCTAGAAGCCCTGTGGAAGAAGTTCTTTACTGGGAGGGCTGTGAGGCACTGGAACAGGTTGCCCAAAGAAGTGGTGAAAGCTCCAAGGCCAGGCTGGACAGAGCTTGGAGCAACCTGCTCTAGTGTAAGGCATCCCTGCCCATGGCAGGGAGGCTGGATCTAGATGATCTTAAGGTCCTTTCCAACCCAAACCATTCCATGATTACGTTATTCAGTTCTCCCTAACTAAAACCAGGGCTGAAAGCTCAGCACTCGGGCACTGTGCCACCAAGAAGTCATGATACAACCCCATGGGGATGCACTCGTGATGATATCCCTTGCACGTTCACTCCTTTAAACTAAATGTGTCACCACTTAAAAAGTACAAAAATACAATTGCATCTCTGAAGGGTATTTTATACCTACCAAGATCATCCAAGCACTGAAGAGCAGACAGCTCTTTAGCCTTCAGAAAAATAATGCACGAGGCAGAAATGGGATGGAGAAAATGGTGCCAATATATCTAAGAGCGTATTCGGAGTCTCCCAGCGTTTCCAGTACAATTACCAAGATGCATGTATCCATCAGCCCAGCTCCGGTATGAATGCTGACAGCACAGTGTTAGGGTATTAGCAACGTGTGCAAGATCCAATACTAGCACAAATTTAGTAGTTTAATAATCTGGAGGAGCTATCTTCCTGGAATTTTAATCTCATACCAAGCAAAAAAAAAAACCCAGCAAGACTCTTAGCTATTAATCTACTCACATATTTAGGGCAATCCACGTCTACTGATTAAAAGAAGCGAGACAAATGCACCTTAAGTCTTTCCCTTTTCTTCCAAAGAAGCAGCTGAGCTGCATTTGCTGCACCAACCTGGGTGGTTATTAATAAAACACAAACAAAAAAGCACTAAAAATATGGTCAAAACCATTCTAATTTCAACCCATGTCACTGGGACGTCCCCTAACTGGTATCATGGCAGAGATGCGCAGCCCGCTGCTGCCTGTGCTGGACCCCACAATGGGATCACGAGTCCCACACTATCCTCTCTCCTGAAAAAGGGGAGTTGAAGGTGGAACTGGATTCAGCTCTGCCAGCAGCTCCCGGTGAGCAGTGATGCCACCTTCTACCTTGCAGAGAAAGCCTAGGAGATGCTAAAGAAGGTTACAGCTTTTGCTTTAATGGCTGGGGCTTGGTTTGGCTGCTCCTCGCACCAAGCAGAAGACACAAACCAGTCCCTGCTTTATATTGAAGTACAGCTGCCCCCCAGGTGCCCCCTAAGAGCAAAATGAAAGTTAAAAATCAAGGATAAATCAGTGTTTCCCCGTATTGTTTAGGCTAAGGATGGTTTAACACAGGAGAAGGGAGATGGAGGAGCTGGTGCTGTGCATCACTCGCCTCTTTGGAGAGGATCCGACCAGCGGCACATCCCTGGGACAGGGGGGGTTCCTTGCAGCACCGACACCAGCACAGCCTGGAGGCCACCAGTGCTTGCAAGGGTTCATGGGCAGCCAGCCCTGGAGTGGTAGGACACAAACTAACCCTGTAGCTGCTTCAGTACATGACCTCGTTGTCTCCCACCGTGGTGAAGGGGATGCCGTAGGTGCTCTTCTTGCTCCGCTTGCTCTTCTTGCTCCACACCAGCAGCGTGCTGGCGCTCTTGCTGTTCATCAAGCTCTTCCGGCTGTTCTCCTTGTTGCTCTTCAGCACCCCACTGCCCGAGGACATTGCTGCTGCCTTCTTGTCTGCCTGTTTGGGAAGCAGAGAGGGATATGAAGACAGCACAGCACATGAGCTGCAGACAAGATGCCAGCAGGAGCCTGGGGAACCTCTTGTGTTTCCCACCTAAGGCTTGGGATGTGACTTACAGCTTTCGGTCCCTCCGAGCCCTGCAGGGTTATCACACCGATCTCCACTCCCTCCTCCCCAGTGCTCTTTAGCAGCTGCACCACCTCAGCATGCTTGGACCACTTGCAATCCTTGCCATTCACTGAGATGATGTAGTCTCCTTCCTTCAACCCAGCTTCCTGCAGGGAAAGAGAGAAGATGCACATGTTTGAGCTCATGGATGTCACTGCGTGTGGTCTGCTTGACGTCCACCCCATTCCATGGGTGCCAGCCCTACAGAGATACAGACCACAAGGAGGGCCGGGGTCCATCCTCCACCTACAGCATAAAACACACAATGCCTTCATCATCCTAAAGCTTTTACATCTGCTCTGCAGCGTGTGGGATGCTCTAGAGACTAAGCACCTCTTTTGCTGCTGCTGGAGACGACCACAATCAACATCCAGCCTTGCAAAAAAAAGCATCCAGCTCTGACTCTCATAAAGGTTAAATGCTGCAGGTCTACAGAAAAAATTACATATATATAAAAAAATATTGCCTGCAAGCCTTGATCCTTCAGAAAACAGCAGGTTCAGCAAGGTTCTGCACACCCTTCATCTATCAATGCATCAACAAGGTTCTTGACGTGGCAGCTCAGGGCTGTGGGGACAGCATCAGACCAAGAAGCAACTCAGCCAGCACATGTCAGGCCAGCTGCAGTGGAGGTTTAGAAGCTTATCCACACAGGACAACCACATTTTGATGTCTATCTGGAGTCCAATCCCACCCCAGCTAAGTGCAATAAAGCCCATGAGACAAGATATGGACCACATATGGTCTTTGAGAAGATTTAGTCTCCCGAAAAAGGGAAATCCTGCTGCCAAGAGCATGTTGTTACAGAGATGCCGGGCTCTGGATGGCAGACTTGATGCTGAACAGTGCTGAGGGAAGAGGGAGACCTTTTGCACATCCCACCAGCCTGCTCCTGAAAGCTTCTGCTGGAATACAAAGCGTCCCCTGATACATCAGAAAGCCCAGAAATAAGTTTTCACTGCTCTAACTCATGTTTCAGACTTGCCATCTTGTTCCATCCACTGTCACGTCCCAAAATGGGGGAGAAGGGAGCTGGGTGCTTGCCAAAGAGAAGCTGCCAGCAGTTACAAACTGAGCTAATCTCTGTGTTTTTTTCCCTTAGCTGTCTCCTAAGGAATTAAAAACAACTCAATTATTTCCTGACACCCACCTGCAAACCCCAGGCTGAGATCTGACAGGGATGAGTCTCCACCTCAGCACACCAATGCAGTTATCAACTGAGTGTTAAGACCTAAAACCACCCCAATACCCCTCAAGGTATCCTTTGACATCTCAATCCCAGCATCCCCATGGGGACAAGAAGATCCTGGGGTACTCACAGAAGCACAGCCCCCTGGGATAACCCCAGCAATGAGAACAGGGGAGTCTCCTCGGAGTGTGAATCCAAACCCGTTCTCTCCTCTCATCAGATGGACTCTCCGCACCGGGTACCACTTGTTTTTGGCTGAGAAAACTGAAAGGGGCCCCTGGGATGAGGTAGAAAGATGGAAAGAACATTTTGGTGCAAGAACAACACCCTGGGGACGTGCAACCTTGCAAAACACCCAGTGATGGGGAGGAGGCAGAGCAAGAATGCGCATCTTTTGCTTTTCTTTAAGGATGTGATTTGGACCCTGGCCGGAGTTTTACACTTCCTGCACACCCAAAAGGTAGATTTATGCACTATAAAGCTAGAGGTGCTTAAAAGCCCATGCCAGATGTTGGTTTTACGAGCAGCAGTAGCTTTGTGCAGGTTGGGAAGGACCTTAAGAGGTTTCTGCCCAGAGATAAGGTCTGGACATCTCTCCCAGCACTGCCCCACTCCTGCAAGGCACAGCAGTGAGCTGGTATCTATCTAGACACTATAATAATCCTGGGGCAAAAAAAACATAAAGCTCTGATGGGAAGAGCTTAATTCCCTGGCTCCTTAACTCCCCTGTTTAGGAACAAACAACAGTACCCAAGGAGGGATGATGGGTGGTGAGGATTTTCCCTGCTGCCTGGCTCTGGGGGATGCAGCCTAACTAGGGTGGACCAGTAGCAGGGTGTGAGGTAGTGGTCAAATCCGGCCAAATCCATCCTATCTTCCTGTCTTTCCCCCACTTTTTTATTCCCACAGGAGCAGGATATACCTGCCTGTCTTGGGGCTGTTCAATCAACCTTTCCCTGGGGTGCTGCACAGCCCTTGGGGTGCATGGGGCACAGGGACAGCACAATCAGGTCCCATAGCAGCCACAAAGCTCAGTTCTGCTCCCCAGGACCCTGCAAACCTAAAGAGGGGAGGGATATAAAGATCCAGTGGGATATTCCTAGTGCCTTTCAGCTGGCACCATCCTGCCCCCAGAAAGCTTCCTCTAAAGGGTCCCTTTGGTCCTTTCTCAGGCAAAACCCACCCTAAATGCCTGTCCTGCTCCACTGGGCACTGGTGGAGCTTTGTGACCCATTCAGGTCTTACAAAGACAGATCCATGCACCCTAACCCTCCTCTTGCACATGCCCCTGCCTTCTTTTCCTCCTTGGAAAGCTGCCCATGGGTGCAATGGCTGCACCAGAGAGGGAGAAGAGACAGAAAGAAAGGGGAGGAAGGAAACCAGGCAAGCGGAGCATGCAGGGGAGGAGGAGATGTCTGCTCCCATGGGGCACCCTCCATCCCATAGCTGTACGTACCAGCCTGTGGAAGAGGTCGGTCACCTTCACCTGGGAGAAGTTGGGGGGTTTGATCTCTGGTTTCTGGTGCGTTTTGGCTGGCAGAAGGGAGAGGAAAGCACACACACTGTGGTCAGGCAGTTGTGGCAGCTTCTGCCTCTACACTGTGCTCCCTGAAGAGGGATTTTACAACTCATAAGAGCTGCAATGTGCTCAGGCAGCTGCCAGACATGCAACCCGGAGCCAGGCTCCTACCTGTGATGACAGGGAGCTCTGGTCCCCAGCAACATGCCCCAAACTCGCCATGGGAGTTTGCCCACCCCATGCAACCTCAGCTTCACTTACGGTGAATATCTGGAGCATCTCCAGTTTCAAAGAAGTCCTCCTCATGGTCGATTTCAGAGTATTTGCTCAACGAACGCTTGTGGGCAAAGGAGAGGACCTCCTGCAGGATATCCATCTTCCTGAGGATCTTACACAAGCCGTGAATCCTCATGGCTTCCTCGTGCTTCATGATGGCTTTCTTCAGATGCGCTTTGCCTGCAAAGGAGCAGAGAGATCTAAGCCCAAGCGGAGAGGAGCTGTTCCCTCTCGGCTGCCTACAGATGACAGCAGCTCCCAGGGCTGTGCCACCCCGACGTGACTCAGGGACAGCCCAGTCACGTTTGCAGCCTGCCAGGCGTTCAACGTGCTGCTAAATGGAGTAGGTCCCAGCCGTCAGCTCGAGCCCCCGATGTAGGGCTGGGAAGGGACCTTGAAGGGTGACCTACTTCACTCCCCCGGCGCCGGAGCTGGCAGATGTTCCCAAAAAGCAAGCAGCAAAGGAGCTGCCACCACATTGTGCCGCCCCCAAAGTCCCTCCTAATGCTTTAGCCTCAATCTCCTCTGCAAATTAACTTCTCTCCGGCACCTTGCATCCCACGGGAGGGCAAATACACGAAGGACAATCAAGCCTTGTCCTCCTGGTGACAGCTTCGGGAAGATGCAACACGTCTCCCTCTTTTCTAGGCTAAGGAAAGCCTTCTCATTGCCCCGCAGGTCCTGCTTGCCATCCTCTTCGGCATCTGCTCTTGCTTTGCTCCTCTTAAGTTGCCTTCAATGCGTTTTCTATCCTCATGGAAACGAAGCAGCCACGAAAACAGCTATATAAGCTAAACTACCAAAAAAGCTCTGTCTACGCACTCGTATCATAGAAACCCGGGTGCCTGTTGCGTTTCTCGGTTAGGACACACGGTGGCAACATAGAATCATAGAATAGTTAGGGTCGGAAAAGACCTTAAGATCATCTAGTTACAACCCCCCCGCCATGGGCAGGGACACCTCACACTAAACCACATCACCCAAGGCCTCGTCCAACCTGGTCTTGAACACTGCCAGGGATGGAGCATTCACAACCCCCCTGGGCAACCCATTCCAGTGCTTCACCACCCTAACAGGAAAGAATTTCCTCCTTATATCCAATCTAAACTTCCCCTGGTTCAGTTTGAACCCGTTACCCCTTGTCCTGTCACTACAGTCCCTAATGAAGAGTCCCTCCCCAGCATCCCTATAGGCCCCCTTCAGACACTGGAAGGCTGCTCTGAGGTCTCCACGCAGCCTTCTCTTCTCCAGGGAGATGATGGGGTTTGCTCCAGGTTTATGTGGACTAAAGGCAGTGGTTTCAAGACCTTCACTTTCCTCCATAAGTCGCATTCGAGGAAGTATTTTGAGGCTGAATAGAACACAGAGAGGAAGATTCCCCCTAAAACTGTATCATATCCATCAATCCTATTTTATCAAAGCATCCACTGCCAGCAAGAAAGCAACTAGGTTTTAATGACTATCTAGTGACTGTCCTGGGATTTCCAAGAGATTACAGGGAACGGAGGTTGGGCATGGAAGTCCATGGCTCCACCCTGCTTAAAATGTGGGAATATATTATGTTTGAGAAAACCTAATGTTGTAAGACCAGGAGACAAGGGAAGAGGGAGGGAAATATCCTTCCAGAGAGATGATTTTAGTGCCACAAGCTTCTTCCTTTACTATAAACCAAACCCAGAGCTGAGGCTGGTGGCTGCATGCTCATTTTTCACCAGCAGATGTGGGGAATGAGCTCCATTCAACAAGAGCACAGGTAGAGCTTGAAGCTGGGCTGATGTATATCATACATGAAGAGAGGCTGAGAACACTGGGGCTGTTCAGCCTGGAGAAGAGAAGCTGCATGGAGACCTCAGAGCAGCTTCCAGTGTCTGAAGGGGGCTACATCAGGGATTGTAGTGATAGGACAAGGGGTGATGGGTTTAAACTGACACAGGGAAAGTTCAGGTTGGATGTAAAGAACAAGCTCTTCCCTGTGAGGGTGCTGAGGGGCTAGCACAGGGTGCCCAGAGAGGCTGTGGCTGCCCCATCCCTGGCAGTGCTCAAGGCCAGGCTGGACGGAGCTTGGGCGACATGGTCTGGTATGAGACATCCCTGCCCATGGGAGGGGTTTGGAACTGGATGATCTTAAGTTCCTTTCCAACCTAAACCCTTCTATGATTCTAGACACCAGATGACAGCAGCTGAGGGTGTTGGGGTGGTGTTACCATAACACTCTGGTTTGGGGGTATAAAGAGTCTCTCATTGTATGTCCTTCACCTCTGATCCCCAGCAGTAAATCTGGCCAAGCAGCCAGGAGAATTTTGCTGGGGTTGGTGATGTGATAAAAACTCCTTCCTGGTGGGACCTGTCTCCTTTCACACACGTGCAATGAGTGGAAAGAGCACCAGGAGGCAGCTCATGGGGGAGGCAAACAGATGACACCCAAAAACCAGGGTGCTGAGCTTTGCTCTCCTTTCAGCCTCCCTGGGGAGGAGCTGCCAAATCATGACTTAAGCTGAATAAGCAACGCTCTGGTTTTGTCCCTCAAGCTGAAAATCCACATGGGAGGAAGTTTTTGTTTCCCAAACCTTTTGATGCAGCTAAAAAAGCCACCCCCTGGCATCTGCTGTGTCTTCTTGTGATCCAGCCAAGTCAGCAGCAAGGAGCTTCCAGGATCTCTGTGTCCCTGTGGATTTCTCCACACTGTGTTGGGTGATGTTACCTTGCTTAGAACATCTTTATGCCTGAGGTTTTACTGTTAAACTTGGCTGGAAAAGTTGGTGCAAGCAATGTGAGTTGGTCCTCAGCACCCTAATAGAGATCCATGATGCTTTCCTGCCTTCCCAGGAAAGGCTCTTCCCAAAGAAAGCCTCAAAATTATGTACTTTCATGGAGAAACCCCCCACAACAGCTCATCACACACCTTTGTGAAGACCATGCATCCATGAATAGGGTTACTGTGGGGCTCACTGCTCATATATCAAGGTTTCATTGCAAGCACTGGGGGCTTTGCCCCCATCAATGTGCTTACCCAGCTTCCTCCTCTCCTCAGGGTCCTGCAGCAGGACACGGAGTGATGGTCCCTCTGGCATGGTGACATGGAACTGGATAAAAGCCTTCTCCTGCTCTGGCAGTTCAGCATCAGATGCCACTGTGTGAAACAGATGGTAGGGGATGAGTTTGGAGAGGTCAAGGCACCGCTTGACCACCCAGACCCCTGAGACAGTGGGGACAGGAGGACAATGAAGCCACATCCATGTTCACATGGCCCCAAACTTCAGCAGCAGCTTCCTCTCACCCAACTACAGCCTGCGACAGCCACAGCATCACTGATGGGGAGAGGGAAGAGTTATCACACTTAAGGCATAGCACAAGTATCTGGTTCTTTTGCCCCCTTCCCTTCCTTGCTCCAATCTGGAAGCAGGATTGGAAATAAAGAGCCCTGGGTTTTCCTCATCTGGAGGCTAGCGACATGGAAGCAACAACTAAAGCACAACAGCAGGGTAGACCAAAGTATAATCTGGGAGCTGAGCCCTCCTTGCTGTACCTGGGACCCCTGCATGAGCACAAAGCTTGCAGTACAACCAAAGGGGTCCTTCAATGGAGAAACTGAGATGGATTCAGAGCTCTGAGCACCATGTTGGGCTCTGTATGTGTCCTTTTTACACCCTTATTTCCAGCCAAACCTGTTCCTAATCCCCTTTGGTTCACAGGGAGCTCAGGGTTGGATGGCAGCCTCCTTCCCTGGGCACAAAGTGCATTCAAAAGGCTCCCAAGGACCTTTGTGGATTTCCTGGTCCAAAAGGAAGAACACAAAGCTTGGGAACTGGTTCTCCCTGTGCAGCACCCCTGGGGGATTAAACTGCAGCTTAAGGAGTTTCTTGCCAGCTGGTTATGGAAGCTAAAGATCTGTTATTCTGAACAAGGGGTCAGGGAAAGGCAGTGAGGAAGCAGCTGAGATCTCAACATCATTGCTCTGGATGCAGCAATAAGCAATCCCCAGACATACAAATTCTGCATCTCCACCAGATTTGTGTTTCCTTCACCATTAAGGTTACCAGGAGCCTCCAAATGTTAGGGGAGAGGTTTGCCCTGTCCCTTGTAACCCCACATCAAACCCAGCTCCATCACCATTCTCTGCCATTTCTGTCTTTAAGTTGCACCTCACTGTCTGCCAGCTCTGCTCCAGCAGCTCAATTCTGCTTCTGCAACACCCACATGACACAAGCCCTGCAGCAAGGTTTGGACAGGCTCTGGAATGGGGGAGGATGCAGGGAAAGTCTGGCAGCAGTCACCATCACTGGCAGCTCTCCCCATGACTGGCACAGCTCTGCTTTGGCAGCCACCCCCAAGAACCCTCCAGCCCGGCCTCAGCCACCTCATCAAGTGATGGGTCAGCTCCACAGGTCACAGTGTGTGCATCACCTGCTTGCCCCCAGATCCTCTGCCTGACCCAAAACTGCTTGTAAGGGTGTTGGTGATCATGCAATGGAGATCATGTGTTGGATCCTATATCCATGCTCCAGCTGGCTCCATGAAGCCATATCAGCCTGGCTCCATCACAGCCACATGTACCCCGCTGCCAGTACTCACCACCATGGGATTCCCAGAACAACCAGCCATTAAATTCAAGGTTCTTCTGGGTTTATCTTCATTTCTGAAGCCCTCAGCTGTCCTGGCACAAGTAATGGGTGCCCCAGAGGATACCCAGCTGAGAACATGGGCACACACATGGTCAACAGGTAGCTGACCCCCTTTTTACCCACCCAGTCCCAAAGGGGACAGCAAATGACATCTCGACAGCACCTCTTTTGCTCACCTTCTTAGGAAGACTTAGCAAGCATTGTGCAAACCAGAAGTATGAGGGAAATCTGCCTCACGCATGAATCCCTGAGTCAATAAGCAAGATCAACAGCGCAGAACATCTCAAAAACTTTAGGTTTTGTATCCATCTACCCTGTGCATGTCTCCACCTCTTTATTTGCAACCCCTCCTCCTAAACAAAAGGCTATCACGTGGAGCCAGCACTTGGCTGAGCAGGCAGCTGCCTCTGAGATGTAACACTCACCAGGGCAGTCACAGAGGGCAATGGCAGCAAAGTAGTGAGAGAGGGCTTTGAAATGCTCCGATTTGACATGGACCATGGTGGTCCAAGAGAAGGGAACATAATCCTTCACGTGGGCCTGCGTCATCGTCTGGTGAACCAGAGAGTAGACATCTTCTACCTGTGGGTAGAAGGGACAACATGGGCTGAGATGTAGGACATCCATCAAAAGACAGTGACAGCAGGCCACAGAAGGAACCTCTCCAGTGGTAACATCCCCACCGAGTCCTCTCCTCCCCATGGTGCTCACCCTTGCTGCCTCCTGGGCGAGCTGGAGCTGTGTGAGGAAGTCGTGCTGGGCACGCAGCAGCGTCATCTTCTCAAAGACACACTCCTGGACCTGGGCAACCATCAGCCGCACCAGCATGTTCAGAGAGGCAGCGCTCATATCCAAGCTGGGAGCGTTGGAGAAGTTCTCCTTCAAGTAGTTAAAGGCACCTGCACAAAGGAGAAGCTCCTGGTAGCCACGGGGCTTATAAGCAGGAGGGTCAGGCTATTGGACCACGGAGGTTTCCCCACCAGCAGCACAGGAGGAGAAGAGCCAGTAACCAAGAAACATCTCACTATAACCAGTGGGTAAAAAGATGGGGCATCCCTCCCTTGCTATCTAAACCATCCTTGTGCCCACATCTTTCTTCTCCAAAGGCCTGGGTAACCACAGTTGTTGGGTCTCTTTTATTCCCAGCTGCTTGCAGACAGATCAGCATCTCTCCTGTTCCCAGCTGGAACATCCCTACTGCTGTGTGGAAGCCACATTGAGTGGCTCTTGGGTCATCCCAGCTTCTCTTCATCACCCACAGAAGCAGCATGGTACCAACTTGTACCCATGCACACATGTGGAATACTCCCAGCCCAGGGAAATGCTGCCCTCAGAGAGCCAGGGAAGGGGGGAACCCACATACCTGCTGCCTTCTGGAAGGCATCGATGGCCTGGTTGAGCCCTGGCAGGGAGGCACGGTCCTGCCGTGCTCCAATCTGGGTGTGCAGAGCTCCAATGTTGAAGAGCACACTGCCCTTCTCGAAGGCCAGTGCTCGCTGGTGGGATGGGACCCCAGTCAGCGAGTCGTACCTGGGGAAGGGAAGAGTTGGATGCCCATTACTACACACGGAGAAGGAGGCTGGAAGGTTTTCAGTGTTCTTTATGGGCCCAAAGCCACTGTTTCTATCACAGCTCATCCCCATAGGGTGTGTTCTTTCCCCTGCATCCCCTAATCAACTCACCCATGGCAACAGCAAACCCACCTCCTTATGTCCACCAGCCCTGGCTTTGCTGCAGAGGCAGCAATCCCACCATGGAGGCTTGATCCCAGCTCCCCCCCACTCACAGTTCCCCAAGGGGGATGGGGAAAACTGCACCAACCAGTGGAAGTAGACACCCAGGCTTTTGGTGGGAGGGAAGAAATGGCAGTCAAGGAAGTAGAGCTGGTTGTAATACTCCATCAAGAGCTCGAGCCCAGCTTCATTGCGGCTTGGGGTGCGCATCGCCTGCAACGATGGGAGAGGAGACATGAGGGTGGGAAAGGGAGGGAGAAAAACAGGAGAGGAAATGATGGATTTATGGAGCTGCACATGCTGGTCAGGCCAGGGAGGGGAAAACTCCACCTGAGTTATTCAATCAAATGGATCAGATCAATATGATCAATAGGATTAGATCAATAGAATCAACCAGGTGGGAAAAGCCCTTTAAGCTCATCCAGTCCAACCGTTCCCCAGCACTGCCAAGGCCACCACTAACCCATGGCACTGAAGGCCTCGGCTACATGGTGTGTGAACACTTGCAGGGATGGTGACTCCAGCCTGCCCTGGGCAGCCTGTTCCAATGCCTGAGCACCCTCTGGGGAAGGAATTGGTCCTCAGCTCCATCTAAACCTGCCCTGGTGCAGCTTGAGGCCGGTTCCTCTTGTCCCATCCCTTGTTCCTTGGGAGCAGAGCCCAGCCCCTCCTGGCTCCATCCTCTTCTCAGGCACTTGTAGGGAGCAATAAGGTTCCTCCCCGAGCCTTCTCTTCTCCAGACTGAACCCCCCAGGTCCCTCAGCTGTTCCCCATCACACTTGTGCTCCAGGCTCTGCATCAGCTCCACTGCCCTTCCCTGGTCCCACTTCAGCACCTCAATGTCTCTCTTGTAGTGAGGGGCCCACAACTGGACACAGGATTCAAGGTGCAGCCTCACCAGTGCCCAGCACAGGGGGAAATGCAGTGAAGATGCTGTGCAGCAGTGGGAGGCAGCCCCACGGCACAGATTCAGCTGCAAGAAAGTTTGGGGAGGTACCAGTTTGGTGATGGGGCGCCCAACCCTGGAGCCAGCAGCCTGAGAGCTGTGCTGGATGTGATGCTCATCTAAATCAGGCTGGGATTATTATTGTTTTCAAAAGAAAGTCATACAAAGTCTCATGAAACAAATGCCATGGAAGAAATAGGATTTATGCTTTTAATAAAAGCCCTTGAGCTTTTGACCTTACATGGTGAGGAGGGTCAGAGCTCTCCTAACAACTAATGTTAAAGACAGGCCTTTTGCCATTTTCTGGCTTTGCAGGGTTCCTCTCCCACAGGCTAAAAGCAGGATCAGGCCCATTCATAAGGGCTTGATCCAGTCTCTTTATTTCCAGTCTCCTGAACCAAAGGCAAAACATGAAATAACCTACAAAAGCTGTTATATAGGAGAGGAGCAAATCCACCTTTACTGGATTGCTTTACATTTCCCCTTCTCCAGATGCTAACTGGGGAGAGAGCAGTTGTTTGGCCTTACTGGGGTGAACAGTCACAAATGATTACTGGTGCTTAGTGTAGGAATCCTGTACCCTAAGACAGAAGGATAAGGATGCAGCTTGGAGAGAGGATGAGGAGACCCCTGGAGCAAAATGTGGCACCTTCAACAAGTGTTTCTGGACAAGTCAAAGCAAGACTTTGTAACTGAAGAGATACCAACCTGCCTCAGCTCCATGAACTCTTTGATTTCTTTCTCAAACAAGATGCCCTCCTCTCCATAGTGTTCACTGATGAAATCCTGGATGGGGTAACAAGAGAAGAGAAAACCTTGAGTCACCCTTTAAAACAGATTTGCATGATTTAAAGGCTGATTTGGGGCTGTTCTGTATAAGCAACTTGCCAGCTCTCCCCACAAGTGAAAAACATATCCTCCCTGCTTGGCTCTTGGTGTTCAATATCTCTAGACCCTCACCTCCCATTTTCCCATTTTTTAAGTCCAGCTCCTCTACATAAACTTGGGGTTTTGCAGCTCTTCCAAGACAGAAACTGTTTTGGAGCTGCTGCAGCATCTCCTCTACAGCACCCAACAATCCCCAGGTACTGAAATATCTCCCAAAGTGCACAGTCATTCCCTTCCATCATCTTCCATCACGTCAAGAGTGTGGAACCCTGATGCTCACCTTCAGTGGTGTCAGCAAATCCAGCTCCTTCGTCTCCTTCAGACCCAAAGGGATCATGGGGACGCTGATGGACTCACTGGAAGAAGTCAGCAACATATTTGGTGGTTGGTTTAAAAGCCTTAGAGAGACCTTTTGTGTCAGGGACTAAAATAAAGCAGCTCTTTGCCCTGGGTTTGTGCTAAAACTAGAAGAGGACTCAATTCTGCACAGCAGAAGGATGCTCTTCCCAATGGAAATGGCAGTACAAGAGAAGCATAGAACCTGAACCTACCACCCTTATTCCTCCAGCTTCTCCTTGTCACTCCCTAACAAAGGTAACAGCCACAAAATCAGCTCCAGCAATGAAGCTGCTTTAATACCTTGGTAACCAGGCACAGGTCATGGACTCACCCACTCCTATGTGCTAATCTGGGCTCTGGTGCTGATAAAGCCTTGCTCAGGCTGCACACTGTGCCTGATATTGACATGTTCTACCTCTATTAAAAGAAATTGTCTATTAATAGCTCTTATTACAGAGCTCAGTTGATATTGTAAAGCCCTGAAGATGATGATGATATTGGGAACACCCAGTTAGGGAGTGGTTTGTATTTCAGCATGAAAACGGGGCAGGTGTACAGCACTGAGGAAGAAGAGCTGCAGAACCACAGCCAGAAAGGACCATCTTCTCCCTGACAGGGGATTTAGCAGCTATTCTGATTCTCTGCTGCCAACAGGTAAAGGAATTGTGTGTATAAAGAGCAGAGCCTGCAGCATGCAATTCACAGCCCTTCAAAGAATCATAGAATGGTTTGGGTTGGAAAGGACCTTAAGATCACCCAGTTCCAACCCCCTGCATGGGCAGGGATGCTTCACACTAGACGAGGTTGCTCCAAGACCCATCCAACCTGGCCTTGAACACTGCCACTTGAGCACTTACTACTGCTTTGGACGGCCTGTTCCAGTGCCTCACCACTCTCACAGTAAAGAACTTCTTCCTTATCACCAACCTGTTTCAGTTTGAATCCATCACCACTTGTCCTATCACTACAAGCTGAACCCATCACCCAATTCCTGTACACAAAGACAGAGAACGTGGCACCTGCAGCTCAAATTTGCTCCACAAATGCTTTCCCTCATACCCATTTATCCCTTGCGGATGCCCCCAATACTATCACTGAGCCACGTTACTGAATCCTTGGCCGCTTGGCCTAATTTAAAGAGACAAGGAAGTCTGGCACAGGGTGAGATGGGAGCTGGGTCAGGCAGGATCAAGCTCTTCCCAACCCATATTTGCACAACTCTTTCTCCTTCCCTCCAGAAACTGCTGCTAACTTGTGAGCACATCACTCATTAATCCAGGGAGGAAAAGAGGCAAAGAAAGCTGCAGAAACCAGGGGAGCAGGGCAGGGAGGCTGCACCCACATTCTCATCCCTTCCTACTGAATAAACAGCTTCAAGAGCTATAATTAGAGCAGAAAAGCCATTATTGTTTGTCCCTACCAAGATTTCCGCTCGAATCCAATGCCTGCAGCAAACAAAGGAGTGTTTGTTCGGCCTGGGCAGGGGTTTGGGGTTGCTGCTGTTGCTGGTTTCTATTTAAACCAGGGCAAACCAGAGGCAGGTAAGAAAAGCTGAGCCCTGATAAGGAAGAACTCTGGGAGGATGCATGCAACACAGATGTTGCATCCCTGCTTCTAGTGCAGAAGAAGGATCAACATCCAGGATTCCATTCAGAGGCTACAGACCCTCTGACTACAAACACCCAAGGGTGGCAGACGTATAGGGCTCACTTGGCTTTATTCCCCATAGGAGATCCCATGAACCTAACTCATTTCTGCCCCAAGATCATCCTGGTCACACATTTAATGTCATTGCAGTAACCTACAGGATGGAGTCACTGATGCTCTCCTGGTCTTTGCACCTCTTTCTATTCCCACTACCACAACCATCCTCCCCTGAGAAGGAGCAAGCATTGGGAAAAGCATGTGGATGGACATAAAGTCATAAAACCACTGAATGGTTCGGGTTGGAAGGGACTTTTGAAAGTCATCAAGTCTAGCCCCCTGCAATAAGGAGGGACAACTTCAACTAGACCAGGTTGCTTAGAGCCCTGCTCAAGCTCACCCTGAGTGTCTCCAGGGATGGGGCATCTGCAGCCTCTCTGGGCAACCTGTGCCAGTGTTTCACCATTCACAACTTCCTTGGGCAACCCATTCCAGTGCCTCACTTGGAATTTCTTCTGCTAAAAACCTTATTTCACATGGTGGAAAAATCTCTTACTCAGGAAAGTGGATGATACAAGTAAAGATGGTCATTTCTAACCTATTCCTCCTGCTCTGGGACACCAGTGTGTCCTATCCCTGGCAGTGTTCAAGGACAGGTTGGACAGAGACTTGAGTGATGTGGTCTAGTGTGAGGTGTCCCTGCCACAGGGGTTTGTAACTGGATGATCTTAAGGTCCTTTCCAACCCAAACCATTCTATGATTCTATGCACCATACATCCCCAAACATCTAAGTATCTACTAGCAGAAGAGGTTGAATTGGGTCACCTTACAGCTCTATAAATGAAACACTGATGTTCCCAGGACAAAAAACTGCTTCCAGGCTCATGTCCAAGTCCTCCCCTATCCTTCAGCCACTACTTAGTGGTCCTTACCAGAGGGCCAAACCCTGTACAGAGCAGGAGGCAGAGCAATAGGTACACGAAAGATGCTGACCTGCTCCCAGGAAAAGCAAAAATCAGCTACTAGTAGCAGTAATAATACAATGCCAGCTGAAAAAGCTGTGCTTTGCACTCCATAGGCTCTGTACCTGTCATTCTGGTACACATCCATGCTGCTGTTCAGCTCCTCCAGCTCCTCCTTCAGCAGCTGCAGGTTGGAGTTCACGTAGCTCAGCTCCAGGGCAACTGTCTCTTTGACCTTGTGGTTACTGGTGGCCCTGCAAGATAACACAACATGGATCAAACCTCCCCCATTTCATCAGTGCCTCTATTTGCACCCATTTGGTTAGTGACAGCCAGCATGGCTTCACTAAGGGGAAATCCTGCCTGACCAATTTGGTAGCCCTCTATGATGGGGCTACAGAACTGATGGACAGGGGTAGAGCAGTTGATGTCATCTATCTGGACTTGTGCAAAGTGTTCGACACTGTCCTGCATGACATCCTTGTCTCTAAATTGGAGAGACATCAATTTGATGGATGGACCACTCGGTGGATAAAGAACTGGCTGGATGGCCGCACACAAAGAGCTGTGGTCAATGGCTCAGTGTCCGGCTGGAGACCAGTGACGAGTGGTGTCCCTCAGGGATTGGTGTTGGGACCGGTCTTGTTTAACATCTTTGTCACTGACATGGACAGTGGGATTGAGTGCGCCCTCAGCAAGTTTGCCGATGACACCAAGCTGTGTGGTTCGGTTGATACCCTGGAGGGAAGGAATGCCATCCAGAGGGACCTCGACACGCTTGTGAGGTGGGCTGATGCCAACCTCATGGAGTTTAACCATGCCAAGTGCAAGGTCCTACACCTGGGTCGGAGCAATGCCAGGCACAGCTACAGGTTGGGCAGAGAAGAGATTCAGAGCAGCCCTGCAGAGAAGGACTTGGGGGTGTTGGTTGATGAACATGAGTCAGCTTCAGCATGCGCTCACAGCCAAGAAAGCAACCGTATCCTCGGCTGCATCAAAAGCAGCGTGACCAGCAGGTCGAAGGAGGTGATCCTGCCCCTCTACTCTGCTCTTGTGAGACCTCACCTGGAGTATTGTGTGCAGTTCTGGTGTCCTCAATATAAAAAGGACATGGAACTGTTGGAACAAGTCCAGAGGAGGCCATGAGGATGCTCAAAGGACTGGAGCACCTCCTGTATGAAGACAGGCTGAGAACACTGGGGCTGTTCAGCCTGGAGAAGAGAAGCTGTGTGGAGACCTCATAGCAGCCTTCCACTATCTGAAGGGGGCTACAAGGAGGCTGGAGAGGGACTCTTCATTAGAGACTGTAGTGATAGGACAAGGAGCAACGGGTTAAAACTTAAACAGAGGAAGATATAAGTAAGAAGTTCTTTACTGTAAGGGTGGTGAGGCACTGGAATGGGTTTGCCCAGGGAAGTTGTGAATGTTCCATCCTTGGCAGTGCTCAAGGCTAGGTTGGACAGAGCCTCGGGTGACATGGTTTAGTGTGAGGTGTCCCTGGCGGTGGCAGGGAGCTGGAACTTGATGATGTTAAGGTTCTTTCCAACCCTAACTATTCTATGATTCTATTTGTCAATGTTTGGTTGCACTCAGAAATAGAGATGAAGTTATCCAATTGTGTGATTCCAAGTGCATCCATCCAAACCTACCTGAAGAACCTCTTGCCTTGCATATGATCATAGAATGGTTTGGGCTGGAAGGAACCCTAAAGCTCATCTAGTCCCACATCCCATGCCATGAGCAGGGACACCTTCCACTAGAGCAGGTTGCTCCAAGCCCCTGTGTCCAACCTGGTCTTGAACACTGCCAGGGATGGGGCAGCCACAGCTTCTCTGGGCAAACTGTGCCAGTGCCTCACCACCTCAGCATAAAGAATTTCTGAGGCCAGACAAAACTCCTTACACTGTTGCACCCTGCTCAGATGAATCATGGAATTAACCAGGTTGGAAAAGACCTTTAAGCTCATCCAGTCCAACCATTCCCCAGCACTCCCAAGGCCACCACTAACCCATGGCATTGAGGCCTCGTCTCCACGCTGTGTGAACACTTGCAGGGACGGTGACTGCAGCCCTGCCCTGGGCAGCCTGTTCCAATGCCTGAGCACCCTCTGGGGAAGGAATTGTTCCTCAGCTCCATCTAAACCTGCCCTGGGGCAGCTTGAGGCCGGTTCCTCTTGTCCCATCCCTTGTTCCTTGGGAGCAGAGCCCAGCCCCTCCTGCCTCCATCCTCCTCTCAGGCAGCTGTAGGGAGCGATCAGGTCCCCCCCTGAGCCTTCTCTTCTCCAGACTGAACCCCCCAGGTCCCTCAGCCGTTCCCCATCCCACTTGCGCTCCAGGCCCTGCACCAGCTCCGTTGCACTTCTCTGGCCCCGCTCCAGCACCTCAATGTCTCTCTTGTAGTGAGGTGCCCAGAACTGCACACAGGATTCAAGGTGCGGCCTCACCAGTGCCCAGCACAGGGGGAGAACCTGCTCTTTCTGCCCTAGAGCAACCTTCCCCTTGCCCATCTACACTGCCACCTCCAGTGCAGCTTCAGCTTTGGCTATGAGCATTCAAGCTGCTCATCCACATCAAATAAAAGTGATTAATGTGAGGTTTGAGGAGAAAAATTTCAGTTTTGGGTGCAAAACCCCCTTCTTTATAAGAAAAGGCTTGCTGTACTCACCCATTAGCAGAGCTGGACCCTGCCCTCCCTTCCCCACTTGTGCCCATTAGGAGATGTAAACAGCAAGGACTGATTTCAGCTGCCTGCTCCCAGGCTGATTACACCTTCCTTATCTGCTCCAAAGGAAAGTGGGGAGAGATAAGCCAGAGCTGACAGCTGCAGTCCTCAGCCCAGAGGGGCTCTGGCTGCTAGTGCTAAACCATGCTCCAGGAAAAACAACACTAGCTCTGCTTTCCCCCAGCTTTTGCAGAACATGGTGCATTTGACTTGGTATTAAGCTGGTTTTAAGATGCTGGTCCTTTAGTGTCTCCTCCCCTGACTCCTCTTTGCTGGGATTTTCCCAAGATCAATGCATTTGTTTTATTCTAAACCAAGCAAAATCACAACAGGTCCAAATATCTCCGTGGCCACTTCTATTTAAACATCCTTCAGCATTCCATAGAACGGTTTGGGTTGGAAAGGACCTTAAGATCCTCCAGTTCCAACCCCTGCCATAGGCAGGGATGACCTCACACCAGACCATGTTGCCCATGGCTCCATCCAACATGGCCTTGAACACTGCCATGGATGGGGCAGCTACAGCTGCTCCGGGCACCCTGTGCCAGCACCTCACCACCTTCAGAGTAAAGAACTTCTTCCTTATCTCCAACCTGAACTTCCCATTTTATATATCTCTATATATTCTTTTCTTACATTACTAATAGCTGATTTGCAGCACCAGAGTAACATTTACACATATCCATGATATATTTCTGACCAGTGCTTTCACCCCTGTTCTGAAGCAGAAAGGACACACCACCCTCCAAAGCCCAATTTTGCTCTGCAGTATTTTACATGTGCATGCAAGTTCTTCCAAGACTTGGCATCAGGTTTGAAAGCCCAATATCACTTTGGAGCACTTCAGTTTGCATTCTGCAAGGGCCACATGAAGCAGTAAGAGCACAGTTACCTATCAGAGCGAGAATTTAGAGGAGCGCTTGATCTTTCTGTGTGCAAACCTGCGCTGATGCACCTCATGGTCTCCATCCAGCGCAAGCACTGAGCTCTATATGAGCACACAGAACCTATGTAACTTCATAGAGGAGGTTGATGGAGACAATCATTATTTGCTTAACCAACATCAAAGATTTCTGATTCATTCTTTATTTCATTATGGAAATGGTTTATTTGCCACACTTTTATCTCCCCCATTGCTTCTCTCAATCCCAGAACATGAAAAGAAAAGCTTTCTGCTGCCTCTTCCCCTTTATTTATCCAGCAAACAACCCCTCTTAACACACACCAAGCAAACACCACATGTATCTTTTAGTTCCAACACCACACTCATAGCAACCTCCCCAGGAAAGGAGGCTGATATGCTCAAGAGAACAGTTCAGGAAGTTATTTTCTTTAAAGCATTGAGATTTGGGGGTTGTTTTGGGTTTGTTTCAGCTGCAAACTCAGGCTGGGCAATCCACAGCTTTAATCCATTTCCATTTAGCACTTACATGCAAAGGAAGTTTCTCCCTGCAACTCAAGTCTATAGGTTTTAAGCAATAAACCTTACAATATAATATCCCCCACCTCAGCCTTTAATTTCAGGCCCAAGCTTGATTCTTCTTCCCCCTAGATTTCCCCTATTTTCTAAGCTCTGGGCATCACATCACCCAGAAACCCCCATTATCACTCAGCCGCAAAGTGGACGTGTGGGAGGGAGGGAGAAGTGGCTGCTCCCAAAGGACATTCAAAGTGCTGATCCAGCAAAAAGAGGGCAGCCCCATCACTGCATTGCCCTGGCTGAGTAATTAAGATGTGTTTTGCATCACATTCTTGTTCACTCCCCTGCATGTAGTGATGATTCCCACTGTTTGCACCCAAACTGCAGCCAGGCACATTTCTGCTGAGCCAGCACATTTGCCCCTATGTATTATTTGCTTTTAATAATGAAAAAGAGGCACATGAAGAGGCACATGATGAGATTTCATGGCCTTAGTTTAATTAGATGAGGCATAGCAGCATGCTTGAAGCAGTAGTGTGCAAGGACTGTATCGACACCTCCCCTGGGAAGCACCAGTGGTGTCAGCCACCAGTAAAGCACCATTTCTTCCTATGGTTTGGTGGAAAAACTATTATTCCCTTGTTCCAGGTTCAGTATGGAATTCAATATTCCCTTCAATTCCAGGCCACTGATGTTAAATCATTCAATATATAGTCATATATACTGAATAGTCATATATATTCACATATAACAGTTATTTAATTGGAGAAAATAAACTGGCAAAATATGCCCAAAAGGCTATTATAGGGCAGCCTTACGATATTTCCTTATATTTAAGGACATGACCATCCTCCATGTGGTCCAATATCCTACAGGAACATGAGATATACAGAAGACCTACAAAAAAGGTCATCCTTGGGTTAAAATAAGGTAAAATAGCAGCAAAATTTGTGTCTTTGTATCATGAACATTATACAGCGGAAGGCAGTAATGCACAGGCTCTCCTTGTGCTGGTCCAGCTGCAATCTGAAAGCCATGTAAAGGTGCCAACTGCTGCACCATCCCATAAATGCATCTTCTGACAGGGTGAAGAGCCTGTTGAAGGTGAAGGCCATGCCCATATGTAAAGACATGCCTGAATTTTCAGGTTCTGCTCTGCTGGAAGCACTGGGATGGGTTTTCTGGAAATCAAGCTGGATGTGACTCACTCCCTGGGGTTATCAGGCAGGAGCTCTGCAGTCCAAGCTCAAACCCAGTTAAACTTTTATTCCCATTATTCCATCTGCTCACACCCTGCTTTGTACCAGCCTTGCAGGACATTAAAACTATACGTTTTCGTTAAAATTCATAGCATTAGCATTGAATCAAGCAGCTATATCCAGGATGAATGCTGCAAGGCCTGGGGAACACTGAACATACCTCAACCATAGCCATGGAAGGGCCAGCATCATAAAATGGTTTGGGTTGGAAAGCTCATCCTGTTACAACCCACTGCCACAGGCAGTGATACTCTCCACTACACCAGGCTGCTCCAAGCTCCATCCAACCTAGCCTTGAACACTGTCAGGGATGGGGCAGCCACAGCTTCAGCATCAGCCACCATCAAGGGAAGCAGCTAATGCTGAAATTATGGATTCCACCATCACTACATAACTGATTTCTATCTCTTGGCAAATCCCTCCTGGGCCAGAGGGATGCTCTGGGGACCAGCACTCACCTGAAGAGGTTTTCTGCCCCCGCTCGCATCCTCATCTCCTTGTTGATCTGCTGGTTAATCCGGGCCCGGCGATGCTGCAGTTTGCTGCGTTGGGTCTGCGCAAATGGGTCACAGCCCTGCTGAGAGAGAAGGGCAGGGTCTCACCAGAAAACCAGCACCACTTTATGGTTAGAAATGGCACTTTGAGAGCCTGGGATTGCACTTGAAATAAAAGGTTTAGTCTTTAACACCATGTGTTGGGTTTTATTTCCTAAATTACTCAGAAAATGCTTCCCAAATGCAACCATGAACAGGAACTAAGCATCTCTTTCCTAATGTCCTATCATCCAGACATGAGACAAGACCCAGGGGGCTGCAGATGAGCTCTATATAACCCTCAAGCTCTGTAACAGATGTGACCCCATGCCTATAAGTGTTTTCATCTCCTTCAAGCTATAGGGGATCAAGTGCAGATGGCAAGTCAAGAGTTCACAGGGGTGGAGAAATGAATTGCACAAAGCAGTAAACGAATTCCATCCCTTCCTCCTTCCTTGGCTTTGGCTCTTTCTGCAGACAGGGAAACACATTTAATCTCTGACTTCAGGAAATGACAGACAGCAATATCCCTCTGTCTCACAGGAGGGAAAAGTTTATTATGGGATGCCCCAGGCAGTGCAGTTGAAACAAGGAGGGTCTCTGAATCCAGCGCTACAAAAGCTCTACCCAAGCGAATGATTTCCATTGTCTGAGGAGAGGTTCAGATGGATGAAGTGAGGCTCTAAAAGACCCCTGGATAAAACAAACCCAAAATACACCCAAACAACCAAAAACACCCAGGAAAACAACCTTGTTTGGGAGAGCACATAGTTGGTCAGTTGAGATGGAGAGGAGAGGATGGAGACCTCCTGCTTTTCATACATCAGTGCAAAACATGGGCAGATCCCTCCAAGAACATATGAAGATCCACTGAGGCACTGAAATAAATTCCTCAAAGGCATTATTTCATAGAATCAGACTGGCTTGGGTTGGAAAGGACCTTAAGATCATTCAGTTCTAGCCCCCTCCACGGGCAGGGGCACTTTGCACTAGACCAGGTTGCTGCAAGCCCCATCCAACCTGGCCTTGAACACTGCCAGGGATGGAGCATTCACCACTTCTCTGGGCACCCCGTGCCAGTGCCTCAGCACCCTCACAGGGAAGAGCTTCTGCCTTAATCTAGCCTGAACTTCCCCTGTTTTAGTTTGAAGCCATGCCCCCTCGTCCTATCACTGCAGCCCCTGATGAAGAGTCCCTCCCCAGCATCCTTGTAGCCCCCTTCAGACACTGGAAGCTGCTCTGAGGTCTCCACGCAGCTTTTCTTCTCCAGGCTGAACAGCCCCAACTGCCTTCCTTTATAAAACCTCTATTTGCTGTGCACATCAGTCTTACACTGCTCCTCATTGCTCTTCTTCCACCAGAGCTGGTGGACCCCTTGTCTCCATATGAAGGGGTTTTGCCACTTAAAAGACTCTACAGAGCTCCAAGAGTGCCCACTCATCCAGCCCAATACACCTTCTCATCTAATTTCTTCCATTTAGACATGTCTCTGGGCTTCAAGTCTTATCCTCCAGGATGGGTCACAACAGTCTCAGATCCAACAAGCCAGGTCAATGCTTGGTTATCCCTCCAACAAACATTGTAGGTCCAAATGTTACTCTGGGAGAATTTGCTTCTAAAATTATCTTCCTAAGAGAAATAGAAAAGGAAAAAAAGAGAAATTGTTGCTCAAAAAGGTGTGAGACCAGTTTTGATGAAGTAGGGAATGGAAAACTTGGCATTTTCATGGACTTCAGCTTCTGAACATTAGTTTCTTATGTTTGAAGGCCATTAAGTGGTGTCCCCTTTGAAAAGAGGCTGGATTAACATGGGCATTTTCATTGAAGTGGAAGATTCGAGCTCCTAATTGGAGACTGAGGAATCAGAGCCATTCCATCTGGTCCATAAATCTGCAGGCTTAGTGCTTTACAGTAATCCATTGAAATTACTGATGGAACAAGCTGGGAGCAGGGGAGCAGGATTACTCTACAAAAGTAATTAAGTGGGATGTTAAGGAAAACACCCCCATAGCTGTACAAATCTTGGGTCTGAGACAGTCAGGTGCAAATAACATGAAAGGCTGATCTCAAAGTACCCTGGGGGTACTCGCACATCCTGCACACACTGTTGGCTCCATTGGGAAAAATCCATAAATTGAAAAGGGAAGGATGAGGAATTAGACACCATGAAGCCCAAGAATGGACAATACCATGTTCTCTCCAGCAAGAAGCTTGAGTCCTTATTAAACATGGCCCTTGAAAACTAGAAGCCAACCACACAGGGACTACTCAAAGCTGAGCACCCTAGAGGCCCTCAAAGTAAAAGAGACATCAAACTCCACTCTAGAAAGAAGCTTCTCATGCAGACATAGGCCAGGATGTTGCACAAGTACTCCTTCTATTAAAGGGTGATTACAAGCGTTGTGCCTTCAATGATGTTTCTTCACAGACATTAACCAGAAATGAAAGTTAAAGCTTAAGGGAAAGGAAAAGGAGAAACAAAAGGTGGTGCATATTAAAACTTCAGCAGCCCCTCAGGTTTACAGGGGGGCACTTGTCATTCCCAGAGCCACAAACATATACAAATACACGGAACTGAGCAGGAACCAGGACTCTCCCTGCCTCCAGAGCCAGAAAGCCTCATCCAAAACTCAACAGCCCCAGTAGCAATTGGTGGAGGTGGGAAGCATCTCTTTGCCTTCAGCAATACCTACAGGAGCTTTCATTCACCTTTGAGGCATCTCCACTTCTTGCAAAGCTTTGCTCAGAAGTGGTCAAAGAATTTTAAAGGGTTTTTAAGGGAGGAGCAAAGACCTCCTGAATACATAGGCAGGAGGCCAGAGGAACTGCAGGTGAGATATGATGGAAAAGGTACAAGTGGAAGGACTATCTGAAACCACAGAGAAGGTCCATGAACAGCTCCTTGTCTGGAGGCAAGGAAAGAAGAAAATAAGGAAGAAAAGGGGCATCAGAAGACACTAGGATGGCTCTACAAAATGTAGAATGACAGTGTTAAAACCTCTTCACTACAAAAGCATTAAGGGGTTTAACTAAATGACTAGGCAGCTCCACAGTTCTCCCATGCCCAGCCTGAGAACACCAAGAGGCAAAATTCAAGTCAAAGTGTCACAGCTGATGAACAAGAACCCCCTCAAGCATAATCAGAGCTGATGATCATTAATGTCTTCATCTTTCCACAAGAACACAAAGGAGCTGCCCTCCAGGAACACTTGTAAGCCCTGATGCAGTTGGGGACCAAACACAGCACAACAACATCCAGAACATCCAAGATTCCATTCTACAATTTACCTAGACTTCTTCTGAGAGACACTAAGCCATCCATAGAGCTGCAAAGTCCCATTCTCCTCACTCCCATCCAAATTATGTCTTCTCAAATGGATTTCCTAAGATAATTATCCAGGCTTCTAAGCCAACAGCAAAACCATACTGGAAAGTCGGGTATTATTGGAGCACCTGATGTAACACCAAAGCCTTGTGAAGATGTTGAGTAAGGATCTTGAGACTTGCTGTCCTTAGGGACTTCATGTGATCTCCCAACACATTGTTTTCCTCCTCACCCTTTATGAGGTTGAGTAAGCGCAGTAACCCATGGGATTACAGCACATCTCACCTCCAGAAGATCTGCTGGTCCCAAAGCATCACTCTTGGCTGGCAGGGACTAATATAAGCATTATGCCAAGGCCACCATGGGGAACAATCAAGCCCAGTCTGCAGCTGCTCCGGGAGCACAGCAGAAGTGGTGCTATTTCACATATACAGGAGCATGAAGGAAACTCAGCTTCAGAACATTATGCTTAGGCCAGGTTACCATATATATATATATGAAAGGAAATACCATCATGAGCAAAACAGGCCGTATTTAAATCAAAAGGTAGATAGGGAAGATGAAGACACAAGAGGAAAGCCCATCCTCCAACAGCTTGTGTTCAAAGGAACCCAAAGCTTTGCCTGTGCCCATACTCTCCAAGCTAAAAACTACAGCAGAGTTCCTAAAGTAAGCAGTGACGGATTTGATCATGCCTCACATAAGGGAAAAATCAAAAACCACCACCAAAATGTGCTATTTGGTTATAAAATGGTTTTGTCCTTGCTTAATTCTTTTTTGAGGTCAACCCTTTAAGGTTGAACCAGTTTCATGGGCTTTAGGTTGCACTTAGGGACATGAATAGAAGGGTAAAGTTGTGTGCTTAAGAAACAGCCAGGTTGAATATGAGATTTCTCAGCCTTCCTAGTTTAAAGCTCTCACAAAGGAGAGGCAAGGACATAACTTGTACTGGAAGAGCCCATAGACTGTGCAGGAGCCAAAGAACTGCATAGCTTGTATGTACACAGAGAACAGTGCCTGTTAAGAGAGCCATGAAATGAACGTGGGTCATTAAGTTATATGAGTCGTGTGCAGCTCTGAGGATTATTGCCTCTGACAAAGCAGGATTAGAGGCAGTATAATTGTAGAAAGGCCAATTTGATGCTCAGGAGACATCTGCCAAGTGACATTGTGTTCAACCCTCAGCATGGGAAGACATCGGTGTTACAGAAAGTACTCAACCAATGCCTTCATATGAGGAAGAAAAGGCAAGAAAGAGGCCAAAAGACCTCTTTTCCAGAGGAGGCCAAGACAAACAGGTCCCCTTTGAGGGATGTCAAGGCTGCAGCCAACTCAAACCCTATATTTGCAGGAAGCACACAATGATATAATGGTGTTGTTCACTCCCCAACACCTCTTCCAGCTCAAAAGCACCCATCTAGGGTGTTAAATAGAGCAATTATGTGGTTTGGTTTCCTTCTATAAGCAAGTCCTTAGGCAATGTTTGTTTAGAGATGATCACCTTTGCACTTCACAACTCCAGTAAACACAAGGAGATGGAGCCTGGATGTCTTGAGTGATGAGGCACACCTACAGCACTCACCTGTGACCCTGGTTCCAAAACAAGGCCACTGCCTCAGAGCTTTCCCAGCACTAATAACAGATAAAACTAATCACCTGGAGGAAGAGGTGGATGCCAGCAAGTCCAAAGGGCAAAGCTGTGCACAAAGGGACTCAATTC